CTTCTACAAAGGAAGGTGGTGGAAAGACTACTCCCCGGTGCAAATGTGCGGTTTCCAATCACGGCTGGCACTTACGGAACCCCCGCTGCCCACCAGGCAGTACCGTAACCCCATAGGCGCATTATTATTCTCATGGGATCTTCCCTGAAACTCTGCGGGTGCATTTGGCGAGGCTAGTGGTGGACACACATGACTCACGCCAACTATGATTGACTGGAACCCCCTGGCAGCCCTGAGTCTCCTCGTCCTGTTTCATAGGCGAGGACACTGGCACTCACACAGAGAGGTTGAGTCACCCACTCTGGGTCACACAGGTCTTCAGTGGTGGATCTGGGATCTGCATCCAGGCAGCTGATGTATGTGTCCTAACTGCGGCCCGCTGCTCACTGCTTCCCTGCCCCGTCGTCTTTCTGCAGGAGAGCTCCCGAAGCTGGTGCCTCTCATGCCTCCCGGTTTTTTTCTTGTTTTTAAAATGAGGTAAAATACACATCATGTGAAATTGACCATTTTCACCATTTAAAGTGAACAAATTCAGGACGTGTGTGCAACCGTCCCTATTGTTTGGCTCCAGAACCTTTCCATTGCCCCAAAAGGAAACCTGTACCCACTAAACACTCATCCCCCTCACTGTGCCCCCCGGCCCCCGACAGCCTCTCAGGGGCCGGCCGGCCCCCCAGATTGGCCTGTTCTGGGTGTTTGCTCTGAATGGAATCCTCCAGGACGTGACCTGGCTGCTTTTACTCATGGTCCTGTTTTCCAGGTTCCTCCATGTTGCTCCCTTTTTTTTCCTATTTTTTTTTTATTGTGGTTAAATAAGCATAATCTAAAATTTACCATTTTTTACCGTTTTCAAGTGGACAGTTTGGCAGCATTAGGTAGGTTGGCTCCTGTGTTCTGGACTTGGCCGCGTGGTGGCCCCTGCTTCATTCCCTTCTGTGGCCGAATCACGTCCCACTGTAGGGATAGGTCCCACTTTGTCCATTCATCTGGCGATGGACATGTGTGTCCACCTTTTGGCGATTGTCCATGCTATTATGAACACGCGTGGACACGTTTTTGAAGACAGGTTTTCAGCTCCTTGGTTTACAGGTGTTTTGAAAACTGAGTCGTGTAGGGGGGAGTCCGCCTGGGTGTCCCTAGGAGAGAGAGGAGGATCCCTCCTGCACAGGGCCCAGTCTGGGCCCACTGACTCGTCCCCAGGGGCTTCACTTTAATTTGCTCGCTAAGCCTGTCCAATCTCTGAGTTGGGATGTCTCTTTAAGAAGAAATAAAGAACAGAAACAAGAGTTAAAACCCTGGTGACCAGAGGGAAGTCTGGTGTTTTTTTTTGTTTTGTTTTGTTTTTTGCTTCCACACTCAGACCTCTGTTGTGCTGACCTTTGAATCAAAGCTGTGAGGACATAGCCATCCGCATCTGCTCAGACATCCCAGCTGTCTGCAAACTGCCTGTCCTGGGCTGGGAGGCTGGGGCTGGAGGGGGCATGCTGTCATTTGGAGCGAGAAGCCAGAGTCTGAAGGACAGTGGTGCTCACGCTGCCCATGGGGTTTCAGCGAGGCACACAGGGGTCCCTGCTTGTATAGGTGTGGGTTCCTCCAGCCTGTCTCTGCTTGGCTCCTGGAACGGAGTTTAATCTTGAAGATGGGATAGAGGAGGGCCCCTTGATCGTGAGGAGCACATGAGTCCCCTGTGGTCTTATTAAAATGCAGATTCGGGCTCAGGAGGTCGGGAGGGGGGGAATTCCCCCCGACCTCGCCTTTCTAACGAAGTCCCAGCGGTCGAGGGGAGTGGCTGAGGGATGGACGGGTGGCGTCTTTGCTCTCTCCCCCTCGTGCGTGGGTGTCCCCTTCCTCCATGTCTTCATGGTGACATGCTGCCCTGAGCTCAAGAGTCACCTGAATCTAAGTGGGCGTCGGGGCTGAAGAAATAAATAGCAGCACCCTATTCATTTTTAACAGCAGGGGGGAAAAACCTCTGAGACGGGATGTTCAAAAATAGCACCACTGGTCAAGGCTTTTTTTTTTTTTTCCACTTTCTTTCCCTCTCAAAAATCGTGACCATGAATGAGAAACTATAAGCAGAGTGATTAGCCACAGCTCCCTGAGGCCCCCTCTGGTCTGGTGTCTGAGGTATTTCCTCTCCAGGAACCTCCGGCATCTGGGGTTGACGTTGTCCTCCCATTTTATAGATGAGTAAAGCAAGGCTCTGAATGGGCCATGTACCCAGCATGGGCAAGGACGGTGTTCGAATGTTGACCTAGGCGCTCTAGCTCTCGCCGCCCCCTCTGTCCAGGTGGGGGCTAGCTGGGCATTTATGTTCCAGGGAGGGGTGCCCCTTGCTTTTTTTTTTTTTTTTCAGAGAGACTGGTAAGCCCAGAAGAAAGGACCCGCTTTCTGGAATTTTCCTCATGATCCAACTGTGATGGTCAATTACTCAGTTGGGGATTTTTAGGTCTGGATTTTTATGTTGGCCACAGATAGCCCCCTGACTATCAGCTCATGGGCTTGGTTTATTCTAAAAGGTGTCTTGCCTCCATGCATAGTGCAGGCTGCCTCTGATTTCTTTGTTCTTCTACTTTTTAATGCAGATTTACATAAAAGTACAGGGAACAATGAGCCTCCATCATGATCCCACATTGCCAGTTCTTCACACCCTCAGGCAGCTCCAGCCCCCAGCCTGTTGTGAAGCAAATCCTAGGCATCATCTCAGGCAACCTGGGGTTTTTTAGTGGCAGTATAAGCCAAGGAGGAAAGATACAGTCTTTCCTCAACCTGAGTCCCAGCGAAAAGCAGAGCTTTCCAGAGTGTCTGAAGGAGGAGTATTTATTTATTTATTTTTAAAGATTTTATTTAATTGACAGCGTGCAAGCACAACTAGGCAGGCAGGCAGAGGGTGAGGGAGAAGCAGATCCCAGAACCCTGGGATCATGACCTGAGCCGAAGGCAGACGCTTAACTGACTGAGACACCCAGGAGCCCCAGAAGGATGAGGTTTTAAAGGAAGAGAACTTAAAATAGGCTGTTTGCTGAGGAACTCAAGCTGGAGACTGTCTTTATTTTTTAAGTTTTTAATATTTTAGATTTATTCATTTATTTGACAGAGAGAGACACAGCGAGAGAGGGAACACAAGCAGGGGGAGTGGGAGAGGGAGAAGCAGGCTTCCCGCCAAGCAGGGAGCCCGATGCGGGGCTCGATCCCAGAACCCTGGGATCATGACCTGAGCCGAAGGCAGACGCTTAACTGACTGAGACACCCAGGAGCCCCAGAAGGATGAGGTTTTAAAGGAAGAGAACTTAAAATAGGCTGTTTGCTGAGGAACTCAAGCTGGAGACTGTCTTTATTTTTTAAGTTTTTAATATTTTAGATTTATTCATTTACTTGACAGAGAGAGACACAGCGAGAGAGGGAACACAAGCAGGGGGAGTGGGAGAGGGAGAAGCAGGCCTCCCGCCAAGCAGGGAGCCCGATGCGGGGCTCGATCCCAGGACCCTGGGGTCATGACCTGAGCTGAAGGCAGACACTTAACGACTGAGCCACCCAGGTGCCCTGGAGACTGTCTTTAAAAACCAGAGTACGGTTTTCAAAGTAACTTAAATAGTGAAATGAAGGACAGCTTTTTAAGATACTGTTCAATTCCTGCTGAATTTAGGATTAAACCAACCTTTTCCCCTCAGGTCAGACCTGCCCGAGAAGTTTATGGGAAAAGGGGATATGTATGACTATGGGGCATGGTTCTCCCCTGATTTTACTCTATTTAATCTGTTTAGACACAGCCCCCCACCTCCCAACCACCGCCTGTGTCCATTTTTGAGAGTACTTTTAGGTTTACAGGAAAACTGAGCAAAAAGTAGAGTTCCCATAAGTCCCGCCCCCCACCCAGAAGTTCCCCCTATTAACATCTTACATTAATTAGTGTCATATTTACTACAAATGATGAATCAACACAGCATGTTGCCTACATGTTCACCCTTTACACGAAGCTTCATCCCTGTGCATTGTCTCGGCTATGACAAATGCGTAATGACATCGATCCACCATTACTGTGTCAAACGGAGTAGTTTCACTACCCTGAAAGTCCCGTGCTCTTCGTATTCATACCCACCTCCCCCACTAACCTCTGGAAACCTTTTTTTTTTTTTTTTTTTTACTGTGTCCCTTGTTTAGTCTTTTCCAGAATGTCCTAGGGTTGGGGTCCTACAGCAAGCAGCCTTTTCAGACTGGCTTCTTTCATTTTGTAATAAGCATTTAAGGTTCCTCCTTGTCTTTTCGTGGCTTGAGAGCTCATTTCTTTGTAGTGCTAAAGTGCCACTGTGTGTGGAAGTTTATCCATTTTATCCATTCATCTGTTAAGGATATCTTGGTTGCTCCCAATTTGGGGCAATGATGCATACATAGAGTTGCTATAAATATCTGTGTCCTGCTGGCAGGCGTGGACCTAAGTTTTCAACTCCTTTGGGAAAATTCTGAGTAGTGTGATTGCTGAATTGTATCACATAGAGAATTTTTAGCGTGATTTGCAAAGATTTCTCTTTGGTCAGTGGCTTTAATCAAAACTTTTTTTTTTTTTAAAGATTTATATATTTATTTGACAGAGAGAGATACAGCGAGAGAGGGAACACAAGCAGGGGGAGTGGGAGAGGGAGAAGCAGGCTTCCCGCCGAGCAGGGAGCCCGATGTGGGACTCGATCCCAGGACCCTGGGATCAGGACCTGAGCCGAAGGCAGACGCCCAACGACTGAGCCACCCAGGCGCCCTTCCATCAAAGCTTTTTAAAGGTGTAACGTACACAAAGTGCGTTCATCTTAATGGATGCTTTGAACTTTTGTACGTGTGTATATACACGAGATCAAGATATGGAGTGTGTCCAGCACCTCTGTTTACATACCATCTCAGGTGGTGTCCTCTCAACCACCCGCAGACACTCCTCTGACCTCTAGCACCATCCCTTAGTTCTGCCAGTCAGCTAGCTTCCACCCTGCTTTTGAAAGCAGATTTTTTTGGGGGGGGGGGGGGGGTTGGGGCCATTAATAGCAGTATGCTTTATTTTGGTTTGTTTTGAACAGCACCTAATTTCCTCATTGTTCATGCTGGTCTGGAGCAGAAAGGTTGGCACAATTTCTGGGTAAATATTTTCGACTGCAGGCTACCGGATGAATAAGTATGGCTATGTTCCAATAAAACTTTACTTACAGAAACAGGAAGTGGGCCAGATTGGGCTCCGGGGCCAGAGTTTATGAATCCAGTGTAGAGCAGGGCTTTTTCTTTGCAAAATCCAGCTTTGGGCCGCACTCCAGGTCTGACCCCACATGCCCTGGGAGGGGTGGCCTTGTGCACCTCCTAAAGTTTCCTCAGTTGGCTTTCATGCGCATTCCAAGCTGAGAACCTTCTGAGTTTTCTCCAAGGAGGAAGACTGCAGTTGTGGGGCCCAGGACTGTGAAAATGGATTTAAACTTAAACCGAAGCCCAGCCAGACTCTCCCCACCTTGACCACCCTTGAAGTAATCTCCTCTCCCGTTTAGTCTGTCCTCCCCTCCTCCTGCTCACCTCCAGTAGCAGGCTCCTTCCTACCTGGTGAGTGGAAAGCACTGTTAAAGCTGAGGAAAGGGAAAGGCTCTTCGGTGAAGTGGAGGGACGGGGGAATATGGAGAAGTCAGGAGACATGGGGGATCCCTGCAGAGGTGAAGGTCTGCCCCTGGCTAGTGAGAAAGTTGTGGTCAAGTGGGGAATTTCGCAGTTGGGCTCCTTGGAGGTGGATCAGTTTCGAGTGACTGAGGGCTGAGGTAAGCTTGTCATGGTCCCTGAGCATGGTCTGGGTTTCAGGCACTTTCTATGTGCCACCTTCACTTGATCTTTTTTTTTTTTTTTTCCACTTGATCTTTTAATAGCGAGGAAGTGGCCACTGTCAGCATTCCCATTTTACAGAAGTGGAGACTGAGGTGTCCGCGGGTTGTATGGCTGAGGGCGGGCCGCAGAGCTACTCTGAGGTTGGCACCAGGACTTGAACGCTGGCAGTCTGGCACCTCTGGCTTGGTTACCTCTCCTGGGTGCCTGGGAGGGTGGAGTTGGAAGCCAGTGGCTTCGGGAGGTGGAGGTGACTGTCGGTGCGCATGTGTGTTCTGTGGCCGCGGAGGTGACAGAGCCCTGGGGGCTGGAGGACCCCGTGGCAGGGAAGGGTGGACAGGTATAAGCCATGGCCTTCACAACTCTCAAAACCAGGAAACTGGTCTGAGAGCACTTGAGTGTTGACAGGGGCCACAGGCTGGGCAAACTCCAGAGGTGGACTGAAGGAGGGTTTGGCAGGTGGCCCAGAGGACGGCCTGCATCAAACGGGATGAAAGCAGTACTTTAGAGTGCCATTGGCAACCTCTTCTACTTCGGGCTTTGTCTGGGTAATGATAGTGGCCATGGTAATGGTACTTTCCATTACAAGTTAAGGACATCACTTAACTGGGACCCAACTAAGCAGAACCTTCCGACGATGGGAATTTCTCTGCATTTTAGGAAACCACAGCCGAAAAAAATTGGGTGGGTAGGGGATTTATTCGAATGCATTAACTTCCAGGTTTTACTCTGGAACAGTGTCCATGTGGGTCTCGTACAAGTCTATACTTTTCTACAATACAGACCCAATTTCAAGGCTCGACGCAACAAATATTGGCCAAGAAACTTAAATGCCAGGTGCTATTGGGGACATAAAATGATCTCAAACACGGCTTCTGCCCTCAAAGGATTTTCGGTTACTGTATAGAGGACTCCTCCATGTTCAGGGCGAAGAGGCAAGATTGTATTAAGACATTTAGTTAAAAGATCCTCAGGAAGATTTAAGGTTAAAATGGTATAAGAGAACGGGTGCCTGCGTGGCTCATTCGATTGAGTGCCCTACTCTGGGTTTCGGCTCAGGTCTTGATCTCAGAGTCATGGGATGCAGCTCCGTGTTGGGCTCCACGCTTAGCAGGGAGTCTGCTTGAGATTCTGTCCCTGTGCCCCCCCACCCCGCCACCCTGTGTGCGCGCTCTCAAAAAAAAAAAGGCAATAAAATGTAATAGCAAACATTTATTTAAAAACGAGGGTATTGGGGCGCCTGGGTGGCTCAGTTGTTGGGCGTCTGCCTTCGGCTCTGGTCATGGTCCCGGGATCCTGGGATCGAGCCCCGCATCGGGCTCCCTGCTCCGCAGGAAGCCTGTTTCTCCCTCTCCCACTCCCCCTGCTTGTGTTACCTCTCTCGCTGTGTCTTTCTTTCAAATAAACAAATGAAATCTTTAAAAAAAATAATAAAAATTAAAAAAAAAAAAAAGAGGGTATGAGAGACCCCCAAGGGTATAATCTTCGGGGACATTCCGGATGTGGAGGGCGTACGGATCATGTCTGACTCTTCAGGGCCGGGTCCATGTCCCAGGCTGGCTTGCGCCAGGCCGCCAGGAGAGCTCAGCATCTGAAAGGCACAGGCGAGAAGCGCTGTGGCAGATAGCTGGGGTTTTGGCAGTGCTCCTTCTTCCTTTGGAATATCAGGAGTAAATGCAGAGCTCACTATAAATCCTGCTTTCGAGTCCGTCCTGTTCCCTTGAGAGTCAGGACCGCACAATTCCCTAGGAGTCCAGTTTGCTTTCTCTGCACGGTCCTTCCTTGGGAGGACGAGCAGGTCCCTCCCCGATGCAGCTCCAGGTCTGCTGGCTACCTCTCTGAGCACCCGAGGGGTTGTCAGATGGAGGCTTGTGAGCCAGCATGCAACACAGCCTGCGCTATTTTATTAGCGTTATTAGTCGCCGTCACGTAAAAACATTTTCCTGTCGCAACTCTGAATTCCTGGCTTCTCATGCAAACAGCGGGTCTGGCAGTCCTGGTGGGGCGGCCCGCTCCTCCTGCCCCTCCCTCCCAGTGCTGGCTGCTGCTTTCATTGCCATCTGCCACCTGGCTTGCACTGTGGCTTTCTCCATCTGAGTTCTTCCTACTCGTGCTCTACCAAAGCGGATTCCAAAGAGAAAACAGAATGGTGTGAGGGTCTTCTACCTGGCCCGTGTCCCCCCCGACCATCAACTGCCGGACCCCTGTGGGCATGTGTTCTCTCTGCTCTGGATACGTGGGCAGCCCTTGTGCTCGAGCTAGCCTTGGGTCTCTGGCCTTTCTAGACTTTTCTTTAAAGCAACTGATGTGGGATGAGTCATGATTTCCCTCTATCCAGGAACATGGGTTCCCCAGTGACACGAGATTCTGCACCTGTGGGCTGCAGGCGGCTTGCTCAGTTACTGGTGGAATAACCCAACCTTTACCTTTAGGGAACTGGTCCTTATCACTACCAGGTGGGAAGGCAGTGACCACTGTCCTGTTTCACTTCAAAGGTGGCCGAGTTTCGAAGGGGGCCCATGATATTTGGAATCAAATGAGGGGAAAGTACTGGATTCTTTGAGAGGGCAAAGATGCTGGTACGATGACTGTTTCAGCACTTCTGATTTGCTGACGGTCTCAGACCTGCCGCCTGATGGAGCGGGGCTTGAAGTGCCCGGGGCAGAGCATGGGGAGTCAGAGCCCATACAGTGAGTCTGGTGCTTGCCCTCTTGGCCTTTGCAGTGAGGGGGCTTCTGGGTTCTTCCCTAGGCACCCGCTGGCCACCTTTTTCCACCTGTTTTTCCGGGTGAGTGCCATTGTCACCTATGTGTGCTGCGACTGGTTCAGCAGAAGCTTTGTGGGCTGCTTCGTCACTGTGCTCCTCCTCCTGTCCTTTGACTTCTGGTCTGTGAAGGTAAGGCCCCCTCACTCGTGACGCCATCGCTCGTGAACGCACGAGGGCTGTGGTCACTAACGTTCCCGAGGCACGTGGCTGATCTGGGCCAAAAGGTACTTTTCTTCGAAACTGCAGATCCTTAGAAATAGTGAGCCAACATCACTTAAACATTGTTAAGAGTTAGAAAATGGTCCTGGTTCTCAGCTGCCGTGGTTGCAGATATGTATGTCATGAGGGTGGCAACTCCCTACAGCTTGGGGCTTTTTTGCTAAAATTTGCATATATTTAAAATACATATTGCTACATATTGTTTGGGGGTGTGTGTGCACGTGTGCACAGGGTAGGGAAGTCACTGGTTAAGGTAAGCTTAGTTCAGCTTACCTCTCCTGCTCCCAGGATAAGTTCAACACAAACTGCTGACTTTTATTTTGTTCATCAGTGAAAAGACAAGGACTTTCTTTCCCTGTGGCGTGCTTAGAGTCCTTCTGTCCATTTCCCCCAGAACGTAACCGGGAGACTCATGGTGGGCCTCCGCTGGTGGAACCAGATAGATGAAGATGGGAAAAGCCACTGGATTTTTGAAGCCAGAAAGGTATTGTCCATTACGAGTCAAACTCGAACCAGGAAAATGGCGTGGAAAGTTTGCATGGGTCCCTTCTGGGCTTTGTGCAGATCGGATTCCCGCCTAGGGCCGAGCCCACCGCTGCGGGGGCGCCACCAAAACCAGCGGGTAGCAGAAGTCCGCGGATGAGAAGCCAAGAGGACCGCGGGCTGCTCTGCGACCGTTTTTACTCATTTTGAACACGGACTCTTTCTCCCTTTAACAGGCCTCTCCGAATCAGATCGCTGCCACAGAGGCTGAAGCTCGCATCTTCTGGCTCGGCCTCATCATCTGCCCGCTCATTTGGATCGTGTTCTTCTTTAGCACCTTATTCTCCTTGAAGCTCAAGTGGCTGGTAAGGCGATACCCCGACTCGGATGGTGCTTTGCCATCTGCACAGACCAGGGTTGCAGGAGTGGGTTTTCTTATCTGTCCGTTGATTTGAGACTTTGCTGAGGCCATTGACATACTGTACAGTCCACCCACTTAGCATGTGCAATGCAGGGGGCTTCTAGTCTATTCAGTGTGCGGTCGCCACCACAGCCCATTTTAGGATATTTTCAGCACCCCCAAAAGGAGCCCTGTACCCTCTAGCCATCACCACCTCCAGCGCCTGGCATACTCCTCTTTCTGTTCCAACACTTAACCTATTCTAGACGTTGCCTGTAACTGGAATTCTTTAGTGTGATCGTTTGTACCCTTCTTTCACTTAACACCAAATTTCAAGGTTCATCTGTGTTGTAGCATTTATCAGTCCTTTTTTTTAATGGCTGTGTAATATTCCATCATGTGGACATGCTGTGTTGTTTCTCCATTCATCCGCTGATGGACATTTGGGTGTATCTTTTGGACTCCTATGAATAATGCTGAGAGACGAGTTGTAAGCAAAATCATGTGATATCCTACCTTAGAATGTTCCTAAATAGGAATAAGCAAGCCTGAGGTCTGAAGCTTTTACAGGTTTTAAGTACACTCCCGACCCAGCACTGAGCCCAATGCAGGGCTCCAAACTCATGACCCTGAGGTCAAAATCTGAGCTGAGACCAAGAGTCGGATGCTCAACTGACTGTGCCGCCCAGGCGCCCCATTTTAGTTTTATTACTCAAATATTTAATTGCTGTGATCTGGCTCCTTCAGTGAGAAAACATCCATAGATGGTAGAAGTAGCAGCGTAATCAAAAGTGGGGGCTCTGGAGTTTGGCTGTTGGCCCAGCCAGGCATCAGCTCTGGGACTTCGGGCAACTTTCCTTTCTCTGGGTTTCAGTTTCTTCCCTACAAAATGGGATGATAATGGTACCACCCTCTTGGGTTGTTGCTGACTAAAAAGTGTCTGTGATTATTTGAGTGCTCAAGAAAGGTTGGCTGTTACCAGGTACAGGCCAGAGCCACTGCTATGTAGTTTGGGAGGAAAATTTCAATACATGCTCTTAGAAGAACGACCTTTGCTTTGTCTGCGTGCAGGCCCTTGTGATAGCTGGGATTTCTCTCCAAGCCGCTAACCTGTATGGCTACATCCTTTGTAAAATGGGAGGGGAGAGTGACATCAGCAAAGTCACAGCCCGTTTTCTGTCCCAGACGGTGTTCCAGACGGTGAGTTACTGAGCTCTCTCTCCTGGACCCCTGCACTCCAGATGCTTTAAGCACAGGTGGCCTACTGGCAAATGTGATTTTAACGTTTTCCTGATCAGCTAGGCTGCCAGGGTTAGTGTGTGTGTATGTTAAAATAGACACAACGTAAAATTGACCACTTTAAACGAGTCAGTGGTGTTAAATACACTCGCGCTTTCATGCAACCATCACCACTGTCCCTCACCACACTTTTTCATCACCCCAAACTGAGATTCTGTCCCCATGACATAGTAACTCCTGGTCTCTCCTCCCCAGCCTCCCACCATCTATTTTGCTCTATGAATTGGACTCTTCTAGGGCCCTCACATAAGTGGAATCCTATTGTATTGGTCCTTTTTGTGACTGCCACTGTTAGTTTTAAGGGATTTAAAAACTACAGCATTAAGTACTACACCCACAGAATTCCTTTAACCTAACATTTATTTCTGAAGTGTGAGATCTTTTCAATTTGACAGTTTGAGCTATGTTAAAATTTAAACAGTACTACCTTATGCCAAGACATTGAGCAATGAGCCCTCTGGGCTTTCAGTTATGTTGTGGGTTTGCTCTGGCCCTTGCATCAGCAGAATCAGGCCCCTCCCGTGTGAGGACAAAGCCACAGTTGACTTTTCTCCTTGCAGGCCAGCCCAAGTGACTTCCAGAAGCCTGGCCTTGAGGGGCTGGAGATTCACAAGCATTAGGTAAGAGGCAGGATGGAGGTGGAGGTCGGGGCTCAGCTGTGCCAGTGGGCCAGGGCGCACAGCAGGGCGGGAGCCAGCCGGAGTGGGGGCCTGGGCACGGGGCCCTTCCAGGGCTTCCCGGCCCCCTCCCTCTCTCCTCCCATGGAACATGCGCAAATTTGACCATGGGTGCAGGCACGAAGGGAGGGGAAGGAAAGGAGGGGAGAGGGAGAGAACCAAGGGATTTGCCCATCCTTCCATGGATGCCCGGAGGGAGCTGGAAAACGGGAATTACCTCTTCCCTCAGTTGTCAGTTCCTGTGCATATCCTGGCAGTGAGGAGAATTCTAGAGTTTAGGTCGGTCTCTTCAAGTAATTAAAAAAAAACCCTATAAATGGTCTTGTAGGACACTGGAAATGACTGGACAGTGAACACATTAGTTCATGGGACACGGGCACAGACACCCTGTTCTGTTTACATGGGTGATTTAAGGGCTTTTTGGGCCATCTTCATTTTCCCCTCAATCTAAAGCAGTGGCATTTGGACCTTGTTATTCGAAACCATGACTGTGGATTTTGCAATGGTTCTTTTTTAGGCATCTCTTTGGAGGCCACAGTGGCTGAAGCAAGAGGTTCGGTCCTTAAAAAAGCTTCCAGCAGAGAAGAGTTCCCTGACCAACAAGCTGTTGGTTTCCCGGAAGCAGGCCTTGGGGGAGAGGTTTGAGGAGACATTTTTATTCTTAAGACAGCATGTTTGTAAAGAATGCCTTTATATATGTCGAAAAGTGTAAATACTACAATTAAAGTGTCTCTGCAGAAATGACTTCACACCCTACCAGAATCTGGTCCCTTTCTGCCCAAGATCCCCACACTGTCCCCAGGCTGCTCAGGCTGAGTTGCACGTGCAGCTTGCGTCTCAAATGCTCTCGTGTGTTTCAGGAACTGAGGAAATGCTCTTCTTTCGGGGGATGGTGACCACAGAACTCCTGAATTCCTGGAACATGAGACAACGCAGTGGTGGTGTGCCCGTTTCTCAGGCAGCCCTGCCTCTGTTGGCGAGGGCCGAATCACCGCACGGCTGAACTCCCCAAATGGTCCTGTTTCTGCCGATGCCCTGACTCTTCGAAAGTGTACGGCTGGAGATCTTACATCAGCCCATTCCACAGATCCAGAAGCCCAGGAATGCTGCTCTCTGCCCTGGACACCATTTTCCTGGGCAAAAGGAACTTGCCACAGACCAAGAGCCTATAGCTTTAATGACTGTCCCCACCCCAGCTGCCTTAAAATCCAGGCCCCAGGGGGCCAATGACCAGCACACTCAGGCTTGCACATGGTGTTCCCGCCATCCCCCAACCACTTACTCAAAGATTCCTAGCTTCCTGGGCTGAGGGGTCATCCCAGCCCCCACAAGCATGACTGTCTCCACCTGAGGTGAAGGGCAGTGACCCTGATGACCCATAAAGGGCTCTAAGGGGGATCTTCACACCCAGCCAGGCAGCCCTCTGAATTCACAGGACTCACGCATACACATACTTTGAATGATACTTCTGTAGGCAAAAGTGGCTGGAGAATCCGGTGCGTCCATCAAAAAAGACTGTCCTTTGTCACAACTCTTACCTTAGAAAAGTGAAAAAAAAAAAAAAATCCATGAAGAAAATGGGCAAGGTGAACTAGGGGCTCTTTTGGGCCTGTGACATTAAGAACTTGAGCTCCCCCTCGCTTATAGTGAAAAGCAAAGCTAAGGACACACACCAGCTGAATGGGAACCTAAATACACCCGTGCAAGGAGACTGCCTGGGCAGAGCCCCTCCCGTCCGCCGGCTCCGCACTCCTGCAGAAACAGGCCTGTGGTTCTGCTCCCAGCTGCTCCCCAACCTCAGGTGGGCCCTGGGAAGGGCCACTGCCCCGAGACAGGGAAACCGAGGGACGGAAGGAGCCAGGAGAAGGGGCTGGCAGAGGTGGAGCCCAAATGAGTGCAGGCTACCCTGGGAATGTGCCGGACTAGTTCTGGGAAGTCCCAGGTCCCAGAACAGTCACCTAATGGGCAGTGTGTACTGATTTTCACAGCCCTGGTTGGGACCCCTTTGCTCTCTGTGCTCCCAAGAACAGGCATTACTGTCTGAAGAGCTCATTTCTGAGAATTTCTGGGGCTCCTCTGGTGTCGTCTCCACAACTCCCCTCCGGTTACCACCTGCTCCGACAGATGAGGCCATCGGGGCGTGGCGCCCCCAGCTGGCGGAGCAAGAGCAGGGCTGTGGGGCCCAGGCGGGGCTGAGAATCCGGGGGCCAGAGAGGCAGCACCTCCTTTTGCCATGGAGTTCCCAGCGTGGCCTGGAGTGTGTGCCTTCACAGCTTCTGGTCTGTTCCCAGGAATCTGCCTTTGCTCCCACTGGACAAAAAGAGCTCTGGTGGGGGGGGGGGGGGGGCGGGGGTCTACAGTGACCTCACAGCTTTGTCGTCCTTCCCAGCAGAGGACAGTGCTAACCACCCTGCTCTGATGCTCGCCGGCCTCGTGATTTCAGCTACAAGTGAGGCTCGAGGCCCCGTAACTTGTCACACAGGCCTGTCCACTAGAAGGCACTTCATTCTCTGAGCTTGGGACTGCGCAGCAGCTGTAGTCGGGGTCCTCTGCTTTGCTAGCATCTACTGTAAAGTGCTCAGAACTTGGCTTCTTTGTGGAAAATGGCCCGAAAAAGAAAAGCCTGGCTGAAGCCGGAGCCAGGCAGGAAGGCACACACCTCCCCCTTCCTCTCTCCTTCCCATTCTCTGCCAGGCATCCCCCTAATCTCTTGCCCACCACTCCTGCCCTAGGGACCTGGATGCAGGCCGTGGCATAGGCAGAGGCTGACAGCAGGGAGAGTGCCAGGAGGCCACGGCCCACCCGCACGCATTCCTGCCGTCTACCTGCCCCGAGGGCCTTTGAGCAGGAGACGCTTGCTCCCACACCTGCAGGGAAAAGGTGGGGAAACTCAGCACCACGTCTGGTCAGTGCCAACAGTCACCTTCCTGGGTGTCTGTACCCCTGCTAAGAAGCAGCTGGAGTTTTCTGTGTTGCATGGAGGAAAGCACAGAGCAGGGCGGGGTTTCGGGGCAGGGGGCAAGTGAGGAAAGGTCTCGGGACCCGCTCCTGGGTGCCAGGGTTCTCCAAGCAGGCGCTCGGTCCCCGCGCGGCCCGGCCCCTCGAGGCTGCACCCTCCACACCATGCTCTGGGCCCCTCCTCTCTACATGCCCAGTCTCACCTGGAAGGGCACCTCCCACGACATTCCTGAACCTGCTGACAAACCTAAGGCCTTCCCTGCCTCGAGACCCAGCATGTGAGGCGGAACCTGGCCCTCCTCCTAACACGGCCTCCCGTGTTCACTGCTGCTCAGAGATGTCCCCATCTGCTAGATGGCTCGGACATCTGCCACCTTTCTCCCCACCCATCAAATCCTGTCACCTTCCCGCACATGTGTGTCCCTCTTCCTCCATGCCCCTGTGCCCTAGGCCTCCTTCCCGCGCTCCCCCGCAGGTCCCCCTGAAGGCCTCCCTCTCTGCACTCATCCCCATGCCCACAGTCTCCGATTCTCATTTCCTAACCCCCGAAGGCCCAGCTCCCAGGCTTGGCTGCACAGCCATCCACACGTGGGCTCGAGCCTGCCTTCCAGCCTTCTCCCCAGGCTTCCCTCAGGCCCAGGCCCCTCTGCTGACGTTACCGCCCCACCGCTTCCACACATCACAGGCGCAGCAAGCCTAAGCTAAGTTCAACTCTACCTCGGGCAAACAAAAACCTGGAGGCAGGTGTCATTTTAAGAGTGTGGGTGACCCGACCATGCCACTCAGCAAGCTGACACCGGAAAGTGAATACTGAATGGGGATGGGGTCCACCACCACCCCCTTCAGTCTTGCTGCCGCTCATGGAGTGTCTGGAGGGGACCTAGGGAACTCCGGTACTAAAAGGGGAGCATTTTTCATGCAATGAGGCCCCTAGAGGCAGGCCAACACCCTCGTCTAGTGCTGAGAGAGACAGGGCCGTGCACACTGTGCTGGACCTCGCAGGAGGCAGGATGTCTTCTTCAGGGGTGTTCGAGGCTAATTCTGTTCATGACTTTCACCTCAGAACCTAATTCCTGTCTGAGCACATCCCTGACCCGTCTTCACTCCCACCTTCCAGGCCCCACCCCGCCATCCTCCTCACACTGAGGTCTGCTCACTCCCATGGCGACATGCCCTCACAGTTGATGGTTTCTCTTGGCTGGAGGGGAGCTCCGGAGTGTGCGCTCTTCGTCTGCTGCCCCCCTATCCAGAGTCGTGCCCGTGGTGGGCGAGCGGGGTGTGAAGGCCCCGTCTGGCAAGGGAGGGTTGGGCTGGGCGTTGAGACTCACCCACCTATGTGTGGATCCAGAGGCACTTTTCCGAGGAGCGGGATCTTCAGATCCTGGCACATGACCTCTGCACCCCCTGTTGTTGGTGGGAATATCTGAGTTTCTTTCTGGGAGGCAAGTTAAAGGGAGAATTAGGATTTTGTTTCAGATTCATTAAAAATGGACATTTTTAAGCAACTTAAAAAAAATGGCTGTTGAAATGTGAAACATTAACCACCAGACGAATTTTCATTAACTCAGCAACAGACATTGTTGTGATTGCACTTCCCAAAACGACGGGGAAAAGCAGCAGTAGTGTCGCTGAGACCCCTTTCCAGGCTTTCCTCCTCCACAGAAGGGACTGCTTAGCTGAGCCATGGGCAGCTGCGTTCCCACCTTGCACTTTGGGCAGATGAAGACGCTCATGTTCTCTACCACTCCGATGATGGGCAGCTTCACCTTGTGGCAGAAGTTGATCTCTTTCCGGACATCCTGGAGGGACACCTCCTATCAAGGTTCAAAAGACCATTTATTTCAAAGTGGAAGAAAGAATGTCTGCATGGTTGCAGGGATGGCTGGTGCGATGCAGTGGGTTCACCAGCATAAAGCCTTAAAGACTTACTCACCAAGTATCTCTCTAGTGCCAACCACGTGCTGAGCCCTATTCTAGGGGCTACTTCCCCCCACACCCTAAAAGGATAAACCTGAACGGCCAAATAGCAAACTTACAACGAATACACAGAAAAATGACTTTTACAACATCCCCGTGTTCTATTTTCTCATCAATATACTACACCGAGCCAAACTGTGCTGTATTTTCAAGATCAGGGGGACAGCAAAGTATGGCCTGTGGGTCCCATCTGGATGTCTGTTTTTGTGTTAAGACTTATTTATGGGGGGCGGGGAGAGAAAGTGGGGGGTGGGGTGGATGAGGGGGAGACTCTCCACACCCAGCACGGAGCCTTACGCAGGGCTTGATCTCATGACCTGAACTGAAACCTAGAGTTGGACGCCTAACTGACTGAGCCACACAGGCGCCCTCATCTGTTTTTCTAAATAAACTTCTGGACACAGCCCTGCCTGTTCCTCTCTATATTATCACTGGCTGCTTTTGTCCTATGGTGGTAAAAGTGTTTGCAACAGAGGCCGCCGTGTGGTTCACAAAACCTAAAATACTTACTATCTGGCCCTTTATAGAAAAAGTCCGCTAACCTCTGATCTAGACGATTATGAACGAAAACAACTTTATGGACAAGAAGAAAATAAGGAATACTGCCACATTTAGATCAAATTCACTTCTGAACTCCAAAAGCGCCTTTTACAGTAATAAGTAGCATATCATCCTGGCTTGGTTCCCTCTCTACTTCTCCCCGGGTCACGGGATCAGACACACAATTCCTAGCCTGCTGTTGTCAAGTATGGTCACACCCCAGCCTCTGTGGCTCTAACACTCCTGGGCTCCCAAAGGTTCAAGGCTTCGAGTCACCTCTTTCTCCTGACGCACACAGTTGGTTCTCGGTCCCTTTGAGATTGAGGTAGAGACAAAAAGGCATTTAGCTAGAAAATAAGCTGGTATCAACTGGTATTAGTCTCTGCATCTCACTGCACCTCAGCAGTTCTCTCCTTAATGGTCCTTTAAGTAAAGCCCCTGCTCTGTCAAAAAGGACCCCCAAAAGAGAGCCGCCTGCCTGGGCCAGCAGCTGGGAAGGGCTCTGAGAAGGTGGGTGACCATACTTGTTCAGTCACACTCTCCAGAGACGTTCCACACGAAGAGTACCAAATGCGGGGCATCCTCCCACGGCTTCCTGGAGAAGGGCCAGCATCTGCTCAGTCTGTTTCCCTCTTGAACCCGAGGGGGACACCATGCTCGCTTTCACAGTAAATGTGGCTTTGGAGAGGCCACCTTTGTGCCAACTGGATTTTTGTTGTTTCTTAATGATTTTAGAGTGGTTTTATGTTCACAGCCAAACTGAGCAGAAAGAGTTCCCATATGCCCCTTGCCCCCTACCCATAAACCTCCCCACTATCAACATCCCACATCACAGTGCTCCATTCCAAATAGATTGTTTTCCTTTTAGGTAACTTGTTTGGGACCTGCCCTTGGTACTGCTGGTTTAGAGTGGGGCCCACCCGGTAAAAATTCCAAAACATCGTTAAGGATAAGTCCATCCTCACTACTACCCCCTGGGCCAGGTGCTCCCCTCTCTCGCCGCTTAAGTGGCGTCCTGCCCTTCCATGTGCCCCCAAGACCCTCTCCACAGGGCACCAGAGTGAGGTCACACACACACCCCGTCACAGCACTCCCCGACCCGGGTACCTTCACGTGGCGCGCGGTGCCTGTCAATGTTGTTGGAGCCCTGTGTGCGCCTCGTGTCCGGCACCCACCTTCCTCCATGAGCCACACAGGCTGTGAGGGAGGACTGGTCTGTTGCTTTCCTGGTGCCTGGCACGGGGCCCACACAGAGCTGGTACTCTGCGAAGGTGTGGTGGAGCACGAGGGGTGGTATGGACTGATTCACGGACTAAAGCCTCCTTTGTTGTGCTTTCTTAGGAGCGGAGAAGAGTATCGTGAAAAAAGGTACAACTGAAAAGAATAATGTACTGCTTTCTTGGCAACGATAAGAAAGCCCGGTGCAGACCGGACTGCGCTTGTTCACTGCTGGATTCGCTCCAGAGGACACTCCTGTGCTCTCCTTCGTTTGGGTTCAGCACGGCCTCTAGGTGACTGGTACAGGAGCTGGGCATTGCTGAAGGAGGAGCAAGGACCGCAGCGGCTTATCCAGAAATCGGTCTACACCCCAGGCCGGCTTGATGGGAAACCGGACAAGGTGCACGGAAGCAGCACGCAGGTTGTGTAAGCACAGCAAGGGTGACGTGACCACGAGGGACAAGCCAGATCGGAACGGCACAGGGGGTCTTGCCGGCTTTGGGAAGGACATTGAAAGGCAACTCTGAGCTGCTAGTGCTTTCATCTGTGGACAGAAATAACTGTGGAATGCTTATCTGTGGACAGCAAATGCCTGGACCAAACATAAAGCTTTTAACAAGGCTTCTGGGGATCCACACTGAGGGCTGTTGGAGCACATGTTCCAGGAGCTGCTTCGAGAAATGGGCCTCGAGGCTGGACACAGCCAAGTTTGGAGGCAGCTCCCCCGGGGCGCTTGCTCACCTGGGGGGTGGTGATTATCACAGCCCCATCGATGTGTGCCGCCGACAGGTACTGGACGGCCGACAGGTGCTCGTCCGACGTGCCGGGCGGGGTATCCACGATAAGGTAGTCCACCTCTCCCCAGTCCACGTCACGAAGGAACTGCTTGATCATGCCTGGAGAGAACGCACGCGAGTAAGCCGGTGAGGCCTCTTCTCTCTTATCTACAATGTTACAGAGGCACTTTGCAATCTTCATGTACACCTGGCCTGTGCTCTAAATCAGGGGTGTCACGACGGGGGTGTGGGCGCCACTGACATCTAGTGGCTAGAGGCCAGGGGTGCTGCCAACATCCTGCAATGTGGAGCACAGTCCACCCCTCCCCTAACAAAGAATTACTTGGCCCCCAAAGGCAATAGTGCAAAGGCTGAGGAGCCGTGCCCTATAAAGGACACTTCTGCACGGTTACCTGAAGCCTCCGTGCCCAACCAACCTGCTAGGATTTCACCTCACACACTTCCTGGACATAAATAAGCTATTATAAAACCACACTTTTAATTCAGAGTTACCTAGGTCTCAAATACAGAAACACTCGCAGTAAACATAAAATAATTTTATCCCGTTTCCGTAGTGTAGTGGTTATCACGGTCGCCTCACAAACAAAACAATTTCTATCAGCTCTCCATTTTTATTAGCTCTCTTCAACCAGCCAAGACAGAGGCAACCAGATGCTTAACCATGATCCTCTGCAAAGCCCAGCAGGGGACTATTGCCGTCCTGATGGGACAGGCTGAAAAGGAAACCTAAAGCAGTTCTGCTCTTGGAAGATTGTGCTCACAGAGAAAAAGAGTGGCAAACCATTTTTCTTTGGTCCCCTCCAGATAACGGCATCGTCAGGACTGCTGAGTAGGAAACCCACTGACATCACCCCCAGGTTGTCTTCCACGTACTGGAGGAGAAAGCAAAGAACACTTAAAACCACAGCACATAACACTTCCTTGTTGTTTATCGGAGCTCAGACTGAAAAAACCATTTTGAGAACAAAATGACCGTGTGATCTCTGGGCCTATTCATTCTTTGAATCCACAAACCATTTTGGGGGAAGGAGGGTTACCGTACTGGGGGACTGGAACGAGGCACCCCGGGGCCACATGCTGCAGTGTGGGAACCACGGCAGCAGTCCCTCGCCTGGCTGGCAAACTGTGGTCCCTCGGGCCAAACCTGGCCCGCCTCCGGGTCTTCTATAAAGTTTTACTGGAATACAGCCACGGTCATTCATTTACATACTACGACTTTCACACTATAATGGTGGATAGTGTATGGCCCATACACTGAAAATACGTACCGTCTGACCCTTTACAGAAACGGTCTGCCAATCCCTGACCTTACTTGTGTTCCCTGAGCCTAGAAGAATGCCCCTATCAATACTCGTTGATGGATCAACAGTTGGGTTGAGGAGGGTGCTGCCAGCCCAAACCATATCCGTTCTGAACACATGACCCAGGGCGCACTGCCTTGCAAATAAGGCAAAGGTGTGAAAACTCACCACTGGAGACCAGCCCGAGCCACTCTGGTGAACCTGCGGGAACACGAACACCGACATTCACTGGTCAGAAATGAGGCACTGTGGGCATACTTCTCACCCACACAGACTTACAGATTAGGAAGACAGTTTTAGAAAATACAATTCATTGTCTTAAATGCCACCACTCAATTCTTACTAGAGAGTGAGCAGCTAGGGGCGAGGCAGTGGGTAACAGAAGCTGTATTTCCTACCCCCTCCCTACCCCCAGGTTGTGTTATTTTGAAACTGCTTAGATCCAGGCAGGGAACCAAGCTTGGCCGAGTTCACATATAATTTGGGGTGTAAGGTAGGTTGTAAGTGGGACAGGACTCGGGGGGTGGGGGTGTTGCTGAGGAAATGCAGGCCACCTCTGCAACTCCAGGAAAGGGGTTTGCTTCACTGAAACAGGTGGCCCAGAACCTGCCCCATCCATGGCCTGAGCTTCTGTGCTGGTCTGCTGCACCCCCCGGGGGGAGGGGGCCAACAGGAAGCTCATGGGGCCACCTTGAGATTCAGACTCTCTCCTTCCAGCAGGTGTTCAGTAATAGCCAGCATTCCACTCTGCACTGTCTTCTCATCGTGAGACGAGACTGACTCAACTTCCAACTACACATCAGTCTTAGCAAGTGGGCTTTAGACCAACCTAGTAGCTGAAACAAAAAGCCCATTTTCTTGATGAAGTCTTACTTTTTTAAACAGCTCTATAGAGACCTAATTCATATACCACACCAGCGTCCTGTTCAAAGCGTACTGATGTGGCTTCTGGGATATTCTTAGAGCTGGGCACCCAGCAGTCAGTTGGAGAACATTTTCATCCCTCCAGGAAGCCACTCTGTGCCCCATGATGGTCACGCCCAATCCTTCCACATCCTCCCGCCACCCCCCCCCCCCCGCCCTAGGTGACCCCCAGCTCCTGTCTGTCTCCACAGATGTGCCTGTTCTGGACACTTCCCAGAAATGCAGCCCTAGAATACATCGTCTTGGGTGATTGGCTTTAAGGTCTTTTCAATTTTTATGTACTTTTTAAATTCCAATACAGGTAATGTGCAATGCTGCATCCGTTTCAGAGGTACTCCAGTGATTCAACAATTCCATGTCTGAGTCCATGCTCCTCACCACAGCTGTATGCCCAACCCTCTGCACCTAGTTCACCCAGCTCTTAATGTAACCACCACCCTTCATTCCTGTTTAAACTCAGTCTCCACAGTGGCAGGCTTGAAAGAGGGATAAAGGAAATGCCCCGTGGTGTAGAAGAAAAGAGCACAACTTCTGTTCTCTCACCACGTAAAAACGTCGGCGTTCGTAGGATGCTCACGTAAGGGTGCAGTCAGGGCTAGCTGGACAGCGCTTACAGGTAAGCAGGCGCTCGGCCATGCTGCGGGCGCCTGCTACACAGCCTGTTCCCGGTGGGCGCATGCGCGGACGTGCACCCTGCAGCTCTGCCTCCACCCTGGACGGCGTCGTGCCCTTCCCAGCCCCCTCAGCATCTATCCCAAGCCCTGAGCAGAGTCCACAGGCTGGCCTGTCTGCCTCTGGCTACTGTCCAGCCACCCTCCCTTTGTCCCTCTGCCACTATTCATTGTTCGGAGTACATGCTGGCTTCGGCGCTCCTGCACTTGCTCCCGTGGCCCAGAAGGCTCTTCACCCGCTCTCCACAGCATGGTGCCCTTGACCACACCCTGGCTCACCCTGTCCCCTTACCCAGCTTTCATTTTCTACTATCAGCTGCAGCCTCCCACCAGGGCAGGGGGCTTGATCTGCCTCATGCACTACTGTATCCCAGCACCCAGCAGGGCCCAGCAATGACGTAATGAACGAACCCATGTGACACCCTGGGAACATCCTAGCCCCCCAGCCCTGTTTCAGTGCACTGCCTTTGAGGGGGACCCTTTCTGGGACAGCTTCTTGCCACCCGGGGGGAGGAGGGGGACCGGCACCTGCATGGACTGCTGTGGTGCTGCGGCCCTGTCCCCACCCCATGTCACTTTGCCACCTCACAGTCTCAGTTCCCCAGGGGTGACAACAAGGGCAAAAACATTCCCTCGTTTCCAGGGTACAGACCCCTAGCAAGAACTGGTCTAGCTTTCCCAGGCAGTGCGAAGTTTCTGTGTCCTACTTCTGCATTTTACTTGCTGTTTCCCTTCCCCTTTAAGAAGGCACTGAAACTGATGCTTCTCAAATGATGTGGGTGCACTTTATATCCAGTCCCAACCCCCAAGCTCACGGTGGTCACTGAGGCAGACAGACGGACTGGTGAACATTCACCTGGTTTCAACAGGGCCGTGTAAAAATGCATGGCTCTGCTGACCCCTTTGTGTGGGAGTAGTCCGGTGCTAGGGTGTGCCGTGAGAATACTTTCCTGTGGTTCCCACGATCATTATTACCTGTTCTCCTTCCAGTCCCATTATCTTGGGAATTGATGGCCCACATATATCAATGTCCAGAAGAGCGACCTGGGAAATAAGAAGAGACCAGAGCAGTGACTCGACTGAATGTACAATCTTTCAGATGTACACCACTGGGAAGGAAACAGAGTTCTTGAGGAAAGGAGGAAGGAGAGAAGATGGAAAGAAATGGAGTCAAGCAAGGACCGAGAGGAATCTCGGGGGAGTTCCAACATTTATCTTCCAGGCCATGGCCACACAGTCTCAGACTCCTAAAGAGCTTGGCAAAGCACAGCAACACCATGGATTTCCACACCCATCCCCCATGTCTGGCCTCACTCTGGGGTGATCCTCCAGACCCGGCGTCAGGTCCCTTAAAGATTCAGGTCCAGCCACCATTCACTCGGCCTTTACCACGTGCCTGAGGGGTGGGTATCATCATCTCGGCTTTATAGAAGAGGAAATGGAGGTTGGAGAGGCCCAAGGATTCGTTCAGGAAGCAAGCAGCAGAGCCAGGACATAATCTGAAGCCTGGCGACTCCAACACCAGGGCTCTTTCCACCACCCCATGGGGCCTGCAGAGAAGGGCCAGAGTGGAACCTCCCACTGAGCTGTGACCGAGCCCCACTGTGCTGTGATCCTGAGGGTTAATGATGGAAGGTTCCTGAAAGAAGTCTAGAAGAGCTCTTTGCTAGTGATCTGTGCAACCTCCAATCACTCCTTCCACCCCAAACATCCTTGCTTTCTCAGTGTGATAAATGAGGTCTGAGACGGTCTTCAGGAACCCTCTGAAGAGGAGAGTTAATACTCATCTTGAAAGCTCAGATGTCAAGCATCCAAAGTGCAGCACATCTGGGTAACTTTTTAACTTGCCCTTAATTGGTTTCTTGCTTCTCTCTTCACTGCACCCTGCAAACCCCTACCTACCTCTTGCTTCCTCACACCCATGATCAGGAAAACTTCTCATCCTCAGATCAGCCGCTTGCCTCCCCCGCCCTCTGCTGGACCACCTGAAGAACGCAACAGAAGGATACTCAGGCTGACAACCTGACTTCCTTCGCCTTCTTGACACACAAGGCTGGTATGTGTTAATGATCCACAGACATTTTACCTCAGAGCCTCATGACTCGGGAAACTACACCATTACTGTGACCCTAACAGATTTAACAGTACTCTCGGTTTCTAGCCACTCCGTCTCCGTGCCCTTTCTGTGGGGAACAATTTGTTTCAGGAGCTATGCTCAACCAAGGGGGTGAATCTTGAGGGAAACGATGCAAGGATGCAGGAAACAAATCATGGGTACTCACTCCCATGGTGGTACCCAAAAAGGCTATGACATGTCCCTGTTATGCAGACCTCCGAGGGGCCCTGTGTCCTGTCCCTTTCAGGCTTCCTGTTGAACCTGTCACTACCTTAACATCCATCCAACTGGATTCCCTTTCTGCTCAGACCAGAGAACCCGAGCAGAGACAAATGTGCCTGAGTAAATCTTACCAGGGCCTCTGTGGAAGGTGCTAGAAATCTAACAAACAGGCTTTGCCACACCTCTCTCCCAGCCAGAGAGTCGTGGAACAGGGTGTTGTCAGGATCCAAAACTTTCCCATACTCAGCACCCCCAAACTTCCCCTTAAGAAGAAGTCCTGGGAGGTGAGCTGTAGTGCTGACTCTTGGCACTCCAAGGCTGGGTCATTTCATACAAATTGCTTCTGTCGGAGCTTCTGTCAAACAAGTGTTCAGGAGATCATCAGGTCCCTTCCAGCTCCAAAGTCCATCAGCCCCAGAGACAGGCCTCAGAAACTTCAGTCCGGAAGCCCCTAGAATAGACCTGTTAGTGCTATAGCTCGCCTTTCAGATTACAAGGCAAGATGACCCCCGGGTCACTTGTGGGAGCAGGTGACCCTGCGGTGGATAAACAGCATGCTAGTCTGTGGTGTCTCCCAGCTCAGGTGTAACTATCAAGGCTCCTGCCCCCTTCACCACAACTCACACCCTCTCCAGCCTGCCCATCATTAGTCAGGGGGGTGGTTCCCAATTCTGCTCCCTCTTGGCTCATGCCCTTTCCTAACGAGCTGCTGGACACCTGCCTGCCTTGAGCATTAACACAGAACAGCCCTGCTCAGAGTTAGGGATGAGCTTCCACCAGATAGCAGACAGAAAAGGGACCAGGCGTTTCCCTCCTCAATTTAGGCAAGGAAGGAATGTGTACTACTTGAGATCAATCAACCAGACAGACTCAGAGTCTACTGTCTGTCAATATCCTGCACCCTTTGGACACAGTGGCATTTTCAGTCATGAGTAGGATCTGTGAGGAAATACACTTTCCTAAGTGTGGACTTTTTTTTTTTGGTAAGCCACCATGTGTTCTTCAATACACATGAAATAATACAGGAATGTTCAGAGTCCTCAGTGAGGAAAGTAACTGTACAATAGTCATAGTTGTTCATTTTAAAACAAAACTGTTTTTATAAATATTTAAAATATTTCCTAGGTTCTTATCGCATATGAGCTTCTCTAGCCGTATTTCCACACCAAATGGTGGCGCGTTTTCCTGTAGTTGCAAAGTCCAGGCAGCTACTTCACAACAGAATTATATAGAAGCACCATTATATACAAACAGCTCTCTCTTCCCAAGTGGTTACCTGCATCTGGCCTGGTTAAAGCCCATCTTCAGAGAGCTGTTTAAGAAACAAAGCAGATGAACATAGGGGAAGGGAAGGAAAAATAAGAGAAGATGAAATCAGAGAGGGAGACTCTTAACTCTAGGAAACAAATTGAAGGTTGCTGGAGGGATGGTGGGTGGGGGGATGTAACTGGACGATGGGCATTAAGGAGGCCATTTCATGTAATGAGCACTGGGTGTTGTACCCAACTGATGAATCACTAAATTCTACCCTGAAACTAATAATACACTATGATTTTATATTAAAAAAAAATTTCACGTGCACACACACACACAATAAAACATGCCTGACAGCTTCCAAAAGCAGAGAGCATTCTGGACGATATGAATACTCTCTCAGAGAAACAATCAGTTTTTGGCCAACCAACTGGCCAATGCACATTTGAACCTCAAAGGGCAGGAGACTGTTGATTAACAGAAGGATGGATCAACAAGCGGACTCTGAGCCTGCTCAGCACTGTGCCCGGTGGGGCGGGCTACAAACCCGGCACTACAAGCAGAAATAATCACCACCTCTGCCCCGCGCTCCGGTTAGTGGATAAAGGACCAATGATTGCTATCACAGCCATTTATCGAGCACTTACTACACATCAGACACCATGCTAAGCATTTTACGTTTACGTGCATTACTCACTTGCTCCTGACTCTTGTCTTACAGGGCAAACTGAGGCAGAGAGCCTGGTAACCTGCCCAAGGTCACAGAAGTGGTGTGGGTGAACTGGGACGTGAACCTGGGCAGTCTCTCTCCAGAGCCTGTATTCCCCACCACCAGGCTTGACTGTACCCACCACCATGCCCCAAATGCTCAACCGGAGCTCCGAACACCCCCTCTTCTCCGAAGTGGTGAGGCCCTGCTTCTTCCATCGTCCCGACTCCGCCCGCATTTGTCCCCTCGCACTTGTTCCACCCACTGCCCTGATCAGGGTCCTCGTGGCTGCTCACGAGACATGAACACCATCTCCTGACTGGCTTCCTGTCCCCTCTAATGATACCCAATCACACACTGGGCTGACTGTCATTGCGATGTTCCTAAAGCAATGCTCAAATCCTGCCTCTATGCATGCCAAATGTCTTACCAGGTCACTCAAAGCCTCCCTAGTCTGGCTCAGCCTCTTCCTTGGTCCCCTTCACTAGAGGAGCCCCACCAGACTGCCTGCCATACACACGTTCCATCTGTCCCCACCACAGTCCAGAGGCTGCCTTCCCTAAGCCCAGTTGTCCCTCCCAGGCTTCTCACCCTTGTCCCAAATCCCTACAGCACATCTTGGATGGTGGATGCCAGATTTCAGAGAAGCCCACCTCAGCCATTGGCAGGCCGGCAGGAACAGCTCCAGCATTCTAAAATGATCAGAACAGAAATGAGGAATAAGGGAGAATTCAGATCCTGGGTGAGTGAGAGGAAAGCCGAGCATTACAGATCACCAAGTTCAGCCTCTTCACTCTCAAGAAGGCTGGGGCTTGGCCCAGGTCTCAGTCTTCCTTCACAGATGCACTTCCCCAGCCAACACCAGTGTTCCTGGTGCTACAGACCAAACCAGGGGCCAGTAAACTACAACCTGGGGCCAAACCCCGCCTGCTACCTGTTTCTGTACAGCCCATGAGGTAAGAACAGTTATTACATTTTTAGAAGGCGGGGAGGGGGGGGAATAAAAAAAAGTCTATTTCATGATGTAAAAATTCTATGAAATTCAAATATCAGTGACAATAAAATTCTGTTAGAACACAGCCAAGTTTGTTTGTTTACAGACCGTCTATGGCTGCTTTCCTGTTTGAGGGTAGGACTAAACAGTTGCCAAAGAAACTGTAGGGCCAGCAAAACCTAAAATATTCCCCATCTGGCTCTTCACACACAGTTTGCCCAGTCCTGAAGCAAACTCTAATTTCTTAATCCAGAGATTTGAGAACTGTATTCCTGGAGTTCCTGGACACTGGCGAGGTGTCTCATCTCAGTGTCCTGCAGCGCATGTAAGAATGGTGAGCTAGATCCTCTGCTCACTGTAGCTGGCTTTTTTATGGAGAAAAATCAAGCTTTATGTTAAGATCTTATGGTGCTATTTCACACTTACGTAAAATGGTTTACCTACTACAGGTATACAACACTGAAATTTACCCAGCTTTTAGAGTTTCAAAATAGAACGGGCAATATGTGGCAGTTTTGAAATTTCAATACTAGATTAAATGTACCTTTACAGCCCCATTTAGCACTCTTTTTTTTTTTAGTCAAACAAAAGTGAAGGGCCATTTATCAGTTAGAAACGAAATCTGAACTGAATGTCAACCCTTGTATATAAAAATTACTCAGTATCACAAATGCATAAGAAGAAAACTAATGCTCAGAAATAAGTCAATGTATAAAGAAGGCATGACGACCGTGGGAAGAACTGAAATGGGAAGGAACAGCATGCACAAAACACAACTGTTTGCCTGTGTTACGCAGAACTCCTCTGCAGGCCCTGAACGGTGTCCTGAGACGCAAGAGGACAGTTAGTTGGCAATTCCCATCCAGAGAGCAGCAGGCTAAGACAGGCCACGCATAGCACCAGCATACAAGTCCTCAGCCAGGTCTCTCGATTCAAGGGGTCAACCCATGGGATAGCTGGATTCTAAGAGACATGCATGCTGCTCTAGCAGCTCTGATGGGTAAGCATTTTCTCCACTGGAATTTTGAATAAAATTTCATTTTGGAAGAAAACAAAGATGGAATGTGTTCTGCGTTTTAAAAAAAATTAGAAACTGCAGTATTCATGGTTTTATCAGGTATCAAGTGGTAATCAAAGTGAATACTGGGATCACTTTTCTAAGGTCAATGCAAAATTATCCTGAGTCCCATGAACAACCCAATGTATTTTTAAAATCACAGGCACGGTAAATTTCCATTCGAGCTTTGTGGTAGAAAGTATTTTTTTCTTCCTCATCATACCATACTTTCCATTAAAGCTGAAATCCAGAGAGCAGCTGATTTTTACTGGGCAATTGGAGTTTTCGTGCTCACGTGTATACTTGGGCACCAGTGAGTGGCCCAGTTCAGGGGTTGGCAAATGTTTTCTTCCTCAAGAGTCAAAAAGAAAATACACTTGACCTTTGAACAAGGCGGGGGGTTAGGGGCAACCTCTGTGCAGTTGAAAATCCATGTATTACTACTGACTCCGCCAAAATTTAACTACTAATAGCCTACTGTTGACCAAAGTCTTATAGTTAACAGTCGATTAGCACATATTTGTGCATTATGTGTTACACACTGTACTCTCATACTACAGTAACCTAGAGAAAAAAATGCTATTAAGCGAAATAACTATAAGAAAATCCACACATAAGTGGAACCATGCAGTTCAAACCCATGTTGTTCAAAGGTCAACTGTATTTTAGGCTTTATGGGCAAAATCAAGGATACTATAAAGCAATTTAAAAGCAAATGTTTATAGATGTAAAAATCATCCTTAGCTCACAGGCCATAAAAAGGCAAGAGAGGGGCTGAATTTGCCCATGGGCTATAGCTTGCAGAACTCTGGCCTAGAAACAGGCAGAAAGGGGGTAAGAGAAAGAAGTCTGAACTTAACAAAATGATCAGCATGCCAAGAGAAATGTACACCTGCTGTCCATTTTCATAGCTAGAGAATCTAATGAAACCCTTCATTTCACTGCATAGCTGCCATGCATTTCCTCCTCCTCTCTGCAAGGATCTAGATTCCCGAAAGACCAATTCAACTTAGTCTAAGGAATCAGTTCTCCAGATATCATCACACACCCTCATTTAGGAGCCTCGCCCAGTTTTTCCCAAGGTCTCACCTGTGTGTTTTCATCCTCTGCTAGGCCATGGGCAAGGTGGGCACTGAATGTGCTTTTTCCAACACCACCTTTCCCAGATAACACCAAGATTTTGTGTTTCACGGTCTTCATTTTCTCTTTGATTTCTTCTATGGCTGCAAAGAAAGCAAATCAGGTGATGAAGTCCCTGACTAAATTTCAAGTGTCACTTTTCCAATGGACTAGTAGGAGCTAAATCCTTGGGGCTATTTCAACGGACTGTGTGTGAAATACCACCTAGTCAATGACAGCAATAAGTACTACAAAGAAAATAAAGCTGTTATCCTCTTCGAAATTTTGTTTATTGGTTTACTCGTCTGTCTCCCCTTGCTAGAACCTAAGCTCCATGAGGATAGAGACTGTCTGAAGGGTTCACTGCTATATTCTCAGCTCCAGAAGAGCTTCACACATAGTAATGGTTCCCAACCTGGGGGCAAAATCCGCCTGGGGACATTTTTGGTTGTCATGAGGAAGGGTTGCTACTGGTATGTAGTGGGTAGAGACCACAGATGCTGCTAAAAGTCTAACAATGAGGGGTGCCTGGGTGGCGCAGTTGGTTAAGCGTTCGATTCTTGGTTTGGGCTCTGGTCATGATCTCAGGGTCTGAGACTGAACCCTTTGTTGGGCTTTGCGCTCCACTCAGCATGGAGTCTGCTGGAGATTGTCTCCCTGTCCCTCTGCCCCTCCCCCTGCTTGTGTTCCGTCAAATAAATCTTTAAAAAAATGTCTAAGAAGGCTCAGGACAGCACTCCACCCCAAAGAATTATCCAGATCCAAATGGCAGTACTGCCAAGGTTAAGAATCCCTGACAAACAGCAGGCATTTATGAGGACCAGTCACAGATAACTATCACAGATTATACATTTGCTATGCATTCAACCTTTCAACTTACTTCAATTCCTTAAAATACCACCATGAAGTAAATATTCTACCTGCCCCATATTTAAAAAGTAGGTTCCAGGGCGCCTGGGTGGCTCAGTCATTAGGCGTCTGCCTTCGGCTCAGGTCATGATCCCAGGGTCCTGGGATCGAGCCCCACATCGGGCTCCCTGCTCAGTGGGAAGCCTGCTTCTCCCTCTCCCACTCCCCCTGCTTGTGTTCCTGCTCTCGCTCTCTCTCTCTCTGTCAAATAAATAAATAAAAATCTTAAAAAAAATAAATAAATAAAATAAATAAAAAGTAGGTTCCAAGAGGCGTCTGACTCTTGGTTTCTGCTCAGCTCAGCTCATCTCAGGGTCCCAGAATCAAGCCCCAGGTCTGGCTCTGCACTCAGTGGGGTGTCTGCTTGGGATTCTCTTCCTCTCTCTCTCCCCATCTCCTGCTTGTGAGTGCACTCTCTTTCAAATGAATAAATCTTAAAAAAAAAAAAAAGTTGGTTCCAAGCCCAATGTGGGGCTTGAACTCATGACCCTGACATCAAGAGTCATATGCTCTACGGACTGAGCCAGCCAGGCGCCCCTTGCCCCATTCTGGATAAGGAAATGGAGGCTCAGAGACCTCAGAAGTCTCGCTCAAGGTCATACTCTTTGCAGGACCCAGGAATCAAACCCGACTCTCTCTCCGAACTCCTTCAGAATTCTCCCAGGCTCCTGCTTTTTAAGATCCTTTTGGTAAATCCCCAGTGTTTCCCACCCTCCGATTTGTCCTTCGTCATACTTATTGCTGCGATGGTTTATTTGCTTGCTCACTTGTTTATGGTGGGTCTCCCCTATTAAACTCACATCCACTAGGGCAGTGGTCTCGTCTCTCTTATTCGCAGCTGTATCCCCAGCACTGAGCACTGTGCCCAGGTGAATATATATTTCTGTTAAATGAATGGGAGAATCAATCCTTTTCAAAAGCAAGACAATTCTGTCCAAAGAATATTCCCGAGCAACCCCCCGTTCAAAGTCTATACCCTATTCCCTAGGACGACGTCCCCCCATCAGACCCGTCAGTCACTGTCACTCAAACCTCTGGCCCCACCCCTCCTTCCCCGGCCCCGCCCCTCTTGAGGCCCCTTTGGACTCCACACCAGTCAAGAGTCCTTCAGGCTCCGCCCCATCCCACTACTTCCCTCTACTCTTCCGGACTTTTCCATGGCCCGCCTCCTCTAGACCCACCCCTCCTAAGAGGCCTCCCGGTCCCACCTCTTCCTGGCTAGCGCCCTTCAGTTCCGGTTCAGGTCTTGCCCTTTCCTCACCTGGGTCGGGAGCGGCGCCGGCTCCGGAGGCGCAGAGCCGCTGGTTGGGGCAGCCCTGACATGAGGCCCCTCGGCCCGCCTGGGCGCTGCCGGTTCCGGGACAGCCTGCGCGGGCACAAGGTCACAGTTAAAGTGGCTCCTGTCCCTTCAGCCCCGCCACCCACGCCCCCTCCGTGCACTCACCCTGAGGCACCTCCTCCATTCGGCTGCCTTCGACGTCTCCACGGTCACCGGAACCTGCCCTTACGTATTTCCGCCTCCCGGCGCCCAATCTGACTCTCCAGCCGCGCGAAGTAAGTCTCGGAAAGAGCGTTTTGCGCACGCGCGGACCTTGTGTCAGGTGCTTGGGGCTGGTCTTTTCCTGTTCCCTTCAAAACTGAGCTGCGGAGATCTTTCGTGAATTATTCAGCATGAAGCTCCTAGGAACAAAGGCATTGTCCTACATGACCTCAGTGCCCATTCATGCCCAAGAAATTTGATACTGATGCAAAATTATTAGCTAACATACACTTTAAATTCAAATGTATTCAATTGTCCTAAATAAGACCCTCTCACACACACCCCCTTATTCTGGATCCAGTCAAAAGTCGCACCTTCCCTTTGTTCTCTTCAGTCTCTTTTAATTCAGAACAGTCCTCCTCTCCCTCCCCCTTGCCATTTTTTGTCTTTTAGGACATGGATAAATTTGGATATAGTCCAGGCCATTTGCCTTATAGAATCCGCCCCCCCCATTATGATTAGATTCCGTTAAAAGGTTTTGGCAGAAGGCCCTTGAGTAATGGGCTCAACTGTGGTGTCACGGTGAGAGGCACTGAATGCCAATGGGTCCCGTGGTTGGTAACCGTGAGGGCTTGGCCACTTGGCTTGGGGAAGGGGGCGTCTGTCCCTCCTGCCTCTCCAGCAAACGGTACCCTTGTCCATTTGTAATGAAGAAAGATTCTGAGATGATTCGTTGAGATCGTCTGAATATCCTGTTCATTAACCTTGCACTCAGCGGTTTTAGCATCATTCTTGCCTGAATCCGTGCTAGCAGTGTTCCCAAAATTGTGCCTTTGGGTGAGAAAACTGATGGTCAAAATGTGTGAACTCCTTTCCTCAGGTCACACAGCTCCTAGCGAGGGAGACAGAGTGATGAACCTGGGCCATGGGGCTCCCGAGTCTGCACGGTCATCCGAAACACATGGTGCCAAGCGGCTCTGTACGAGCTGCTGGTCTTACCAAACTGCCCTGATTCCTGTTGTCCGGTGCCCAGACTGGTTGGCACAGTGGATAATGAAGCCGGTCATTAGTTTTATAAAGGCTATGACAGGAGACAAGTGGGGTGATAGGGAAGACGTCCTTAAAGCTGACACCCAGATTGGGACAGGGTGGTAGCGGGGGTGACAAGTGGTATTTCAGACAGAACGAACTGCATGAACAGGCCCAGAGGTCAGAGACGAAGTCACCTGTTAGGCAGGGACTGTTGTGATCTCCAGTTTTCAGGGAGGAAGACAGGGTCACCGGGAATGACTTGCCCAAGGTCTCAGAGCCAGTAAGCAACAAAATCTGATGTAGGGCCTGGGCTCTTGACCACTAGGCCATACAACGGGAGGCAGGATGCAAATTATTCTTTCACTGAAGAAAGTGAGGCTCAGAGGGGTTAAGTGGCTTGCCCGGGGTCTCGCAGCCAGAAGGCTCCACTGAACTCTCATAACCACAGGTTCTTTCTCCCCCTCAGCCACAAAGCAGAGGCCCAAGGCCGGCCCACTTCAGATCTTCCTTACTGACGTCCCCTAAGACACTTCCGGCAGGTTGCTCCCAGCTGTCTTTAGCAGCCTTGCGATCTCTCATTACCCAGGGGCCCTCCCACTCAGCCAGTCTCCCCGCCCCCAAGGCAGGGAAGGTCTTCCATTCTTCACTCTCTCCCTCACTCCTCACTCCTCCCCACAAGGCTGTAAAAATGATCCCATCCCACACTAAAAAGTAAACTCAAATAAACCTCCTCTCCGCTTTGCTCCAGGTCTCTCTTCCACTGTCCCCAGCCAAACTCCTGACTCACCAGGGATGGAATTTTCCATCTGTGGGAGTGGGAGCCGAAGGGCAGGAACGAGGCTGCAGAGCAGATTTCCAGGCCCATCCAGACCTCCTGAATCAGAAACTCAAGGGCTGGGCCGGGGAACACGCATCTTTACGCTCTCACCAGATAGTCATTTTATCCACTAAAGAACCACTTCTGAAGAGGAGTACGTCTCAAGACTCTGTCCTTGGCCCACTTGTAGTCCCACTTTCCACATCCTTCAGTCGTTCAGGCATAACAAACTTCTTTCCACAACTCTTTCCTCAAACCAGTTCCTCCTTCTGGAGTTATCTCAGACAACGGTACCGCCACTGCCCTACGAACTCGAGTCCTAAACGTGAGCATCAGCCTTGCCGTCTCACCACCATCTCCCCTTTTATCAGTTAGCAACTGCTGCGTAACAAGTCACACATACATATATACACCCATGCACACACACACACACACACACATAGTGGTTACCACCACAATGGTTTATTATTTCTCATGAGTCTTCTGGTTTTATCTGGGCTCACTCATGTGGCATCCTTCAGGGGGAATCGAGTAGAAGATTCTCATTCTCATGTGTGCCTTTCCCTTGAGGTGGCCACTGTCTCTCCACATGGTCGCTCATCATTCAGTGGTCTAGCCTGAGCACAATTCCATGGCAGCTGGGCAAGGCTGGGAACTGGCACGGGGTCTCTTCTTCACATTGTGCTGGTCAAAGTGAGACCCAAGGGCAGCCTAGTTTCCAGGGGCATGAAAACAGAGGCCACATCTAGGTGGGTGGGGTGGTGGGCGTGTATAGAGATGGCGGTCAAAGCTGGTGGCCACTGCTGGAAACATTCAGGATGTCTCCCTCCATGTCCAATCAGGCATCAAGTCCTGTGGTCTCACCTCTGTATGATGTAATGGTGTAGTTGCCCAAATGGCCCCAATATGTCACCCCACTGAGCAGGGCCTCTGTTCTACCCCTAGACTCTGGGCTCAGGCTTGTGACTGACTTTGCTAATGAGATGTTAACCGATGTGACCTAACAAAAAACAGGTCCTTGCCTGTTTTCACTTTCTTCGCTTGCCCCTCTGCCCTCCCTATGAGAACACTTGGGGACTAGCCCGCAGAAGGGAAGACCTACAGGCCTAGCAGAGCCACCTGTGGGGTCCCAGCCAAGCCCATCCCAAACCAGGGACCCTGAGACCCGGGAGAGTCCAGCCAATTGGTGCAGAGCCCCCTATCCAGATGCCCAAGTGACCACCAGGTGTGTGAGTCCAGAAGAACCATCCAGCCAACACACAGACTCAGGACCTACAGAAACACTTACTGTGTTAAGCCCCCAAGTTCGGGGTGGCAACAGACAGCTGGCACTACATGACATCACTGCCCTGTGACCTTCATCCGGACCCTCATCCTCCTGGGCCTGCAGAGGCTCGAGGCAGCAGAGATCATTTTTGGCTCCGGCTACTCGAACAGGTTCATCAGCAGAGACCTGCTCGTCATTCCTCGAGGAGACAGACGACAGAGGACCTACCGCCTCACATTGCCACTGTCTGAACACGGGCTCCCAAGGTGGAGCGTGTGAATTGCACGATGCTTCTTAAACGCTTCCACCCAGAAACGACCCCTATATGTGCACACCTTCCATCACGAGAACCGGTCACAGGGTCATACCCAAAAAAGGCGTAGGGAGTGCGGTCGGTCACATGTGCCTGGAAGGAGGGGAGACCAGGGAGTGGCCGGCACAGGGCTGTCTCTGCTACATGTCTTACGGTCCTTTCCCCTTACAATTCAGATGGGCCACTCTGCTATTCGGGCACCTTCCACGGCTCCCTATGGCCCAAGCTAGCACCAATCTTGATGTGGTTTTCGGTGGCCCCCCATGACTCCTTCTACCCCTCTCACCCCATTTCTTGCTGTGTGCCACCGTGCATGCCAAGCTCGATGCAGAACTGAGCAGCAAGCATTTCCTTGGCACCTCAGCCATTACTCTGTGACTCTGTCCTTCACCATGACTGTTCTCCCCACTGGCCCTCCTCTGGGACAGGTCACCTCCCCGCATCATCCCATGGAAGCCACTTCTGGCGCGTGGAATCCATTGCCTTCTCCTTTCCCGAACACGGCATGTTCCAGAAGTCTGAGCCCAGTTTTCCGTTTTAGTAACTCGGAAAGTGTGAACGCTGCAAACTTAACCAGAATCAGCATTTGAAAGTCTATTTACATCTCCTTTACATTTATTTAGTTTGGGGAGTTTGATAGATTTTAAATTTAAAATTTTTATTTCGGTCCCTCCGATTGAAGGTGGCAAGGAGGACTGAAACAAAAAAGCGAGAGCGGGAAATGTTGATTCAAATGTGGAAAACTTAGTCCGTGCCAAAAGATTTAATTAGCTGCATTTTTAAATGCCTTCAAAAATAAGTTTGTAAAAGTGGAGACACAGCAGAAAGATCTGTGGTTGCCCGGGGTTAGGTGGGGGGAGGGATGAGTAGGTGGAGCGCTGGGGATTTTTAGGGCAGGGAAACTATCCTGTGTCATGTGTGATGGTGAATACCTGATATTATGCATGTATCAAGTCTCACAGAACCTACAACACCAAGAGTGAACTCTAACTCACACTGTGGACTTTAGTTAATAACAACGATTCAATATTATGGTTCACCCATTGTTAACAAATGACCCCACCAAGGTCAGACGTTAATAATGGGGGAAATTGGGGTGGGAGGGCTAGAGAGGGAATATTCGGGAACTCTGTGAGCTTCCTGATACATTTTTACATATGCCTAAAACTGCTCTAAAAACAATCTTTTTTTCCCCCCCAAAGTTTGTTTATACTTCTGAAGTGATTAGAGCTTAAATATGCATTAAGAGCACTGGGACACCTGTGGGCATACCTCCTGTAGCTTCGTTTCTGCACATTATGATCCCCTGGGGGATCTTAGGCCAGGCACCTGCTACTCCACAGCCAGTTCCTTTAGCATCTTGGGCGGGGGGCTTTGGCATGTAAAGGAGCTCTGGCCTCAGTTTCCGATGTGGGGTGTGGTTTCTCCAAACCAACAAACAGCACTGGGGAAGCCAGCCAGGTGTCCTACAATTCTGCCCAGTTCACTGATTCTGATGCTATTCACTTGGAAATAGCATTCAAATCCACAGATTACGGGCATAGTTTTACAAGACTGCCCCCCCAGACTCCCCTCCCCCCACACTTCATAAGTCAGTTGCAAATCCAGGTTGTCACCTGTCCTTCTCACTGCCCGGCTGTAGTTTGGGGGTTCCAATGACACCCCCCCTCCTTGGAATGCAGACGCC